TTTCGATGGGAGAAGCAGAGCAATCAGCTGCTGTGGACTCCGTAGACATGCCAAAGGTCCAGATCCCTCCCCCTGCCCACCCTGCCCCGGTGCATCAACCTCCACCTCTGCCGCATCGTCCCCCACCCCCCCCCCCCCCCACGGGGCTGTCGACTTCAAATTCTTACATGTCGGGGGAGGGTTATCAGAGTCTCCAGTCAATGATGAAAACAGAAGGACCAACTTACGGAGCTTTGCCACCGGCCTACGGACCACCGACTCATCTACCATACCACCCTCATGTCTATCCTCCCAACCCTCCACCACCAGTTCCTCCTCCGCCCCCTGCTTCATTCCCCCCGCCCAATATTCCACCTCCTACTCCTGGATATCCTCCTCCACCTACATACAACCCTAATTTCCCACCTCCGAGACTGCCTCCAACTCATGCAGTACCACCTCATCCACCTCCAGGGCTGGGAATGCCACCAGCTAGTTACCCCCCGCCCACGGTTCCCCCCGGGGGGCAGCCACCTGTGCCTCCTCCCATCCCACCGCCCGGCATGCCGCCTGTAGCGGGACTCGGACGCGCTACGTGGATGAGATAGCATGAGGTAATTTGCACCACAGCCCTTTCTGTTGACTAGGCAGGGGTAGCTAGCCCACACCTACTTTGTAAAGATGAAGAGAGGGCGATAATTTAGATGAAGAAATGAGGAGGTGAAATGAAAATTTAGCTGATCTGTTTGCAGTATTGGTTTTGGTGAGTTATATAGGCTTCTAGATTTTAATCAGCTTTGCAGTATCTATTCTAACTTTATACATTTGACCTAAGTTTAAATTGTCTTGAGTTATCCCTGCACCGGATTACTTTGTACTAGCAAAACCAGCCATATTGGCTCAATTCTATCAGTAGGAAGAAAATTTCCTTCTATAAATCTAGTGCCTATCTGCGAGTATCCGAATAGCCAGAGACTATGAAATTTGATCTGTAAAGAAACTTCCTTTTTAGTAATAATTAAAACCACACGATGTCAGGCATAAAAGCTACTTTATTTAAGAGAGATTCTGAATGCTAGCTGACTGGAATAATTTTGAGGTGTTTGCCTTGCTGATATTTTTGTTTTGGAATGTACTGGTATCTTAAAAGTATTGTATGTTTACACCTATTTGCAAATTCCTGTACTTAATATATATATTTTCAAAGTGTGAAAGTCTGAATGTAACAACCTGCTGTGATGTACATCCTGGTTAGAAACGGGACTACTTTTGTTCACATCTACCCAAATAAAACTGGTTCTGAATTTAGCGGATTTCCAGGCCTTCCATGCTAGTGCAGGATTGGTAGGTGTGGTACCCAGCGCGAGGTGTTTCGGCAGTGCTCTCCCACGTCTTGGCCATGAGTTTATTCAAAAAGAATGTGTTTTATTTTATTCAGCTAGAAGTATACACTGTCACAATCAATCTCTTACTTTGTTTTTACTAAAATATTTCAAATGAATGTTTTACACACATTATCAAAAAAATCTGTACTATTACTTTTCCCTCCCCAAAAAAGCCAGAGTGGTTTAATAATAGGTAAAAACGCGTGCTGAGGTCTAAAGAATTTTGCTATGTACACAACAGCAGGTGCTAACTCTTCCAGTTCTTTGTAAATCATATACAGAAAATAGAGCAGGGCTGTAAGGTCACAGGTCTAACAGAAATCAAACTTTAAACTGATTTCTAAAGCAGCACAAATAGACTTTCCCCACGTTATGAAAAATATACAATTTTATCACTTTACAGTCATGCACTTTGAAAAAGATCAGTAGTACTCTTCCCCCGCAGTCTCTAAAAAGATAAAAGGTCACTTTAACACTGATTTCTCTTAATATCTAATATTTGGATAAAAATGTGCCATTCTTGGACGAGGTTGTGCTCAGCAGTCTTACCCAGGTGCAGAGAGCCAATGGCAGCCACTTACACCGGCAGCCTTTCGGAAACTCGGGGAAATGCCTCTCGCTCCAGGCGCTCCAGCCAAAGTCAGGGATGTGATCTCGCTTTCCTTAGGCAAGCCGAGTCCGTTTGTAAACAGCAGATGCTTTCTTTGCCAGAGGATTGCGGAACCCAGGGCTTCGATCCCGAGGAATTTAACTTGGACCAGTGCCCCGAACACCTGGATTTAATGGTCCCGTTACAAGGGACGCTCCCCTCCAGCGCGGGGTAGGAAGCTCCTCACGTAGTGTTCAGCGAAGACTCGGCACGTAGGTACGTGAGCTTAAATACACACATAAACCACCCTTTTAGGCGACTGAAAACTTGGCAGCCAAGTCATTTTACCCCAGGAAGACACCCTGCAGCTCCACCCGAGCTAAGCATGAGGAGCAGCAAGCCTAAAACCCCCTCAGACGGTAACACCTCGATGTACAGCGCAGCTGCGGTCCGCAAAACGGCGCCAAAGACTTGTGCTGCCAAACCGGATGGTGAAAAAGGAGCTGTAGGCCCTGAGGGCGTAAGGATCTACCGGATGGTGAAAAAGGGGCTGTAGGCCCTGAGGGCGTAAGGATCTACCGGATGGTGAAAAAGGAGCTGTAGGCCCTGAGGGCGTAAGGATCTACCCAATGGTGAAAAAGGGGCTTCAGGCCCTGAGGGCATAAGGATCTGCCCTGCACACGGGCTCTTCAGGGCTTGCAATGCTGCTTCCCTCGTAGGCGAGAGCTGCGGGAACAAAACAAGTTTTGCTGGAAGTCGTTGAATAGATTTTGAAAGATTCAGTAGCAAAGAGTCGCTGAAGGAGAATCTGGGGGCTGGTGAGACCAGTAATCTGATCAGCAGAGCTCTCCCCGCGTTGGGAGGCCCTGCTAATCCCACATAGGCCCAAGCAAGCGCGTCACCAACATGGTTCACTCCCCGCGAGCGCTGGAAACGCGTGCGGTGCTGTAGTTAACGTTCGCTGCCCTAAATCAACCTTGTTCTCCATGCGCTTGAATTCCCTGCCTAATCCAGCGACCAGGTGCCAGTAAAATGAACAAGGGGATGGGTTAAAAGCAACCCTGTTTGACAAAAGATGCTGAGGAAGAAGGATGCCCCTGCTTGACATCACCTTTCCTGGTAGGAAAACCTCAAGGTATAAATGGTACAGGAGGAAGACAAGTCCTCAGTGGTGACAAGAAACCAGAAGTCAGAACAAAAAGCAGAGAGGAGGAAATCCAGAATCTTCGAAAGATGCCGTGTGTTAAAGGCGATAGGCAGGCTCCAGAACAGAGATTTCCAGCCGCTCTGGATGTTGCTGGAGTTAGCTCAGCATTCGCTGACTGAGCCGCGGTAAGAAATGAACAAGTGTGTGAGTGAGAGTATGCCTGGGTGGTTCTTGGGTTCGGGAGGGTTTTAAGTAACCTGCTCCTCATGTTACAGTTTTATTTCTGCCATGACTAACGGCCGGGTGCGCTCTTACCGGTTGCTCGGTGTGTCGGTTGTATCCCTGCACTGGTTACAGACCGCGGTTCTGATGCTGCAAGTTCTTCACCCAGGCAGCTGGGTTCCGGTGTGCCATGGCACCAACCACCTTTCATAATTTGGGGCGCGGGCTCCTTGGTATTGTACGGGGGCTCCTTGGTACCACAGTACCATGAGTGAAGAACTCCGCCGGTAGAAGACATTAATTTAAGGGGAAGAACCTGCCCAGCTAACTTTGGCTGCGACCGATTCTTACCGAGACCAAGAGAAAGTCATGGTGTCTGAGGTCATTAAATCTTCGAACCAATCACTGAAACAGATGCGACTTTCGAAGAAGGGGCGTTGATCTTTCCGCATGCCTGTCTTTAGAATTATTTTACACCAATGAGTTTAATATTAACAGCCAAGCCCTGCTTCCTCGGACTATTGGGAAACATCTAATGAAATATAGGGACAGCTGCTGTGACACCTTGGAAAAGAGGGGGGTCAAATTCTTACAACTATACAAGCAGCTACTCCACAGTAGCAAAATATAAGTCCCGTTGGTTTATGTACAACCACCTGAAGGAGAAAAAACTCACTTGTTTTGGTTCATTAAGAAAACTAAAGCTTGCAGGGCAGGAAGCAGTCTCACCCAACAGCCCGTGTTTACGGAGTTCTTATTCAGGGTGGTTGGTTACCTTCCGCAGGAACCGGCAGCGGTGAGGCATCCAGCGAGAGGATTGAAAAACATACCCAAATCTTCCCGATGTGAACCTGAAGCCCCTGTGCAAGCCATGAGCACTGCCAGGCTGGCAGTTCCTGCTGGATTATGCCGCAGTAAAAGCTCTACTGGGAAAGTGTTGCCCTATTTGTAGGGCATACCGACGCGTGGCTGGGTGACCAGTTCATTCACATGACGACTGCAGAACTCTCATGTCCTTTGTTCATGGGAAACAGTTCGTTGACAGCTGATCCGGCGCCTGAAGCCTTTCCGTACGCTTGTGTGAGGAGCGCAGCACAAGCGTTCCTAGCTCGCCACGCGGTATTTTACACAGCGCCCTGTGAAAACAACTGCGTGCAACTCTTCAAAATAAGGACCTCCAAAGAAAGTGTGAGCGGCTCAGGAGCTCGGCAGGCCGTAAGCCAACGAACTGGAATTCTGTTTTCCTTGGAAGGTGCTGCCTGGAGCCACTAATCCAGCTGGGGAGCACTGACAAGCGGGTGGACAGGAGCCATACGAACAGTGCCTTCTCCGCAGGTTAAGGGCTCTTCTTATTCCCCTTAGAAATTCCCCCGAGTTAGTTAATTCTACAAACAGACCATTACAACAAAGCGGGTTCGAACTACGATACAAATGATGCAAGTCTGGCATTATTGGATGGTTACCCATTGAACAGTAGTTCCAGAGCACCACAGCCTGGAAACCAGGCCTTTAGCTGCCATATTTACACTATTGTTACAAAAAAGAGCCAAAAAAAAAAAAAAGGAAACCCTGAAAAAAAACTCAACCCCAGTGGCCAAAGAACAGCAGCCAGAAACGCTGAGCTCTGCCTCTTCAGTCTTCACAGAATCAATCACTTCCCGTCTCCGGGACGGTGTTCCTACAAGGGACCCTTGAACTGGTTTCCTGACAGATGTTGCCGGATGGAGGGTTTGGAGCTCGCGGCATCACCCAGCTTTCGCCAGACAACCTGTATGCAAAAAAGAAGGGGTGCGGGAGAGAAAGACAGGGATTAAAAACAAGGCCCTGAAGTCTCTGAGGAGATGCAGTATTTCTGTAATTGCAGCCTGAAAAGGCAAAATCAGGCATTTCCTAGAGCTGGGCTGTAATTCTCAGCAGAGCCACTTGATGGCACCTGTGCACCAGTTTCCAGGGGAAAACATTGATGCATTTTTCTAATTATTCCCCCTTGAAATTAGAATCATTTTTGCCTGGGGTAATAGTATAAACCAAATACAGTAGGTTCAGAAGTTAGGTTCAGTGGTGGGTCAACCCTGCCACGCTTACAGAAAAGATAATGATTAAAATGATATCTATGACTTTCTAAAAACGTACATTTTATTACTCCAGGGCCACTGGGGTAAGGGAGACTATTGTTAAAAACATAAGAAGCTGCAAAGCTGCCTTGAGTCTACATAAAATGCATATTTGTAGAAAAGCCAGACGATGATCCACAAACAGAAATGAGCTGTCCGTTTGGGAGGACGAATTGTCTTTCCCCCTGCATGACTACAAAGGAATGTGGCATCCAGCAGATAAAACATCCTAAAAAGCAGGCCCTCGATGAGGATCCAGCCACCAAGGGAAGAGCCTCAGCCCTTGCCAAGGACGCTTGCAGTGACTTAGCTCTGCAAGATGCACTGGTGTTCTTTACACCTGCCTTGAGGTGGTTTGCAGAATTTAAACAGAGCGTTAGGCTCCTCTGCTGCTGTGAGGCACCCTACGATGCCCCTTGGGCTGACCCCCAGCGTGGACCCCTAAAAGAAAAGGGCCCTTGAGCACCCTCCTCCCTGCTGCGGGCACTGCGGAACGGCACATACAGGTGACAGACACGCAGCTTGAGCCATGCTCCTCCCGAACTCTGACCGAGGCCGAAGTGTGGCCAAGGCGCTCCGAAGCTGGAGGCAGTGCCACAGCAGCAGACACGGCAGAGCAGGGCTTGGTACCAATGCTTGCTGTACAGGACGTGGCAAGCTCAGTCAACAGCGTGGTCGCACCAGATGCTGTCAGTGCTAAAAGCACCCCCCACACTCTGGTGCTGTTCAACGGCTTCAAACAGGAATATTCTCCCTCTGATCATAGAATGGTTTGGGCTGGAAGGGACCTTAAAGATCATCTAGTTCCACCCCCCCTGCCATGGGCAGGGACACCTTCCACTAGACCAGGTTGCTCAAAGCCTCGTCCAGCCTGGCCTGGAACAATTCCAGGGATGGGGCATCCACAGCTTCTCTGGGCAACCTGTGCCAGTCCCTCACCACCCTCTCCATGAAGAACTTCTTCCTGATATCTAATCTAAACCTCCCTGCTTTCAATTTAAACCCGTTACCCCTTGTCCTGTAACTACAGACCCTTGTAAAAAGTTCCCCCCAGCTTCCTTGTAGTCCCTTCAGGTACTGGAAGGTCCTATAACGTCCCCCCGGAGCCTTCTCTTCTCCAGGCTGAACAAGCCCAACTCTCTCAGCCTGTCCTCATAGGAGAGGTGCTCCAGCCCTCTGAGCATCTTCATGGCCTCCTCTGGACTCGCTCCAACTGGTCAATATCCTTCTGATGTTGAGGGCTCCAGGGCTGATGTTACCTTATGGTTTAGGCTCAAACGTGTTCAAGCCGTACAGCTTTAAAGACAGCAGCCACTTGCTGCTCAGCCCAAACCGGGTCCCTAAGGACACAGCTGAAGTCAATGGCTAACAAGACTCTCCAAGCCAGGGAGAGCCCTTTGCACAGCTCTGTCGGCTACAGCAGCTGCTCTGCACCCTCGAAGGCAGCAGAGAGGGAAGTATCTGCTGAGCGAAGGCTGCTCTGTGCAGTGAACGAGGCGCCTGGGTTACTAATACTCAAAGCAGTGGGCAGCGGAGCCTCCACTCTTCCCTTGTGCCTGTGGATCTCGCCTCAAACAGGGCTTGTACGTAGCAGCCCCCAGCCCCTCTGTACTCCCAAGAAAAGACCACTAAAGAAATGCCTGGAGTTGCTGAGGGAGTTATTACATTGCACATTTCACGAACAATCGCCTTCTCCTTTTCACTCAGGTCTTCTTCATAGTTGTCTTGCATCTGCCTGTCCAAATTTTCATGGACCTCAAGGACCTACAAAAAACAAAATTACAAAATCATTATGCTCCTGAAATAATTATGTGTCCCTAACAACCTCATTAATCTGAATTGGCAGGATTCGCAGGACTCTTCCGAGTCAGAGCACTGCAAAGAGGAGCGGGACACCAAGGACACCAAGCTGGGTGCCTCCGTCCTCTCCCCTCCCTCTTGATGGCCTCTGTCCCACCACCTGCACTGGGGCGCTGCCACCACCGTCCGGGGAGGACATGTGATAATTGGCAGCGGGTTGCCTGTGCCCACAAACGCATCTCTTGCAGGAAGGCTGCTGGTGGCCCCACAGACAGCTCTCCCAAGGCAATTCCCCAACAACTCCTGCTCCTTCCATTCCACTTTTGAGGGAGCAGAGCCTCTCCGCCCCCTTCTACTCATCCGAGTCATGGGGCAATCGTGGTCAGCCCAGGGCAGCAGCTTTTAGGTCTAACAGGGTTTTAGCCATCAGGGAAAGGGGCAGACAGGTTTGTACCACTGAGCAGCAGAGTATTACCCACTGAGCAGCTTAAGTGCGTGGTCTCCCATCGGCCATGAACTTTCAGATCTTAAACAGACACAGCCAATTTCGCTCACCTTTTGGCTGACAATTGTTTTTAACCCATTGAGTTTCCCAAGGGAATCCCTTGGAGGCCCACCATGATGGTGAGCAAGAGACGGGCTGTTAGCATAGAGCCCTGGGAGTCAGAGATCCCAATTTGATTCCTGGGTCTTACCCACTCCCCCTTTGAGCTGGATGCAGCCAGGCTGCAAAGGTCTGGGATGGGAAAGGGGTAGGGAAAAAAACAGTACTGCCTCCCAAGGCCCTGGGTGCTGACAGCAGTCTGAAGGCACTGTCCCCACCACGTGCTGAGTGCCGTGGTGAATCTGGGTCACCCTCTCCTCGTGCCACAGACGCCCTCTGAAGATAATCACCTCGACTCCCCGAGCTTTACTTTAATCTCCATCAGCACCGTTCCCACCCACAGCGCATGCCCCTTACAGGGTAAGGGAATCAGTGGCCATCCGCCGGGGCTGGCACACGCGCGCACCCCCTGCACACCCAGCCAGGCCTGCAGCCACGGCTACAGCCTAACACCTCGGCTGCTGCAAACGCTGATGGATACAGGCCATAGCCACAAGCAGCTCCGTCCTGCTGCCTGTCCTCTCATGCCTGGCTACAGGCAGCGGGCCCAGGTACATGCCTGCAGCACCCTGCCCGCAGGAGCCTCTGGAGGAGTGAGGCATCGCCTCTCCTTTCCCTTCTGCTCATGACTACAGGGCTTTTTCCATGATATTAACAGGAGGAATGCACTGCAAAAAAAAGGAGACATGGCTGCAAAAGCATAGGAATAGCTTGAAAGAGGAAGGGGGGAAGGATGTGAGATTCTCCAAGGAGGCTCTGCTCTGCATCTTGGAGAGCATCTCCAGCAGGCTCCTGGATATGGGAAGGGCCGGGTTTCCTTGCGGAAACAGAAAAGGTACAGCTCCAGCACTGACACCCCAGACCTGACACATCCAGTGCTCATGTTCGTGGGCCCCCTGGATGCCCTGTGGCTAGGCCAAACTTGCAGATTTGCCTTGGGAAGACAAGTAAATGCTCTGTGAAAGCAGCTCAGGACGCTGCAAAAAATAGCGGAAACAACCTGCCTCTGACTTATTTTCATAGAATTCAGGTTGACAATGCTTGTAAATGGAAAAAGTCTTACTTTTAATGTCTCTTTTAAATAGGACTCGGAGACATGTTTCCTAAGCGCTGATCCCCAGGCCACACGTGGCTGGTTAGACGTAGCACGTGGTTGCTGTGTCCCACACGCGCTGCCCACACCCCGCACCTCTGTAGCAGCTGGGAGCCAGCCCTGGCCCCCCAGGTCCCTCCTGGGGCACGCATTGTCCTGCCACCCCCGCAGAGCACCTCCAGGGAGGCACTGCCCGGCTGCGGCCGGCTGGTCCCTCCATCCGCGAGTGAGGCTGCCTGGGGCTAAAGGCAGCCTCCGCTTCCCGCGGGAAACACACACTGACCCACAGACACACCCCAGCGCGCCCATGGGCGCTCAGACAGCTCCTCCGGACGGGCTTGTTGCACAAGCCGGGATTTTACCTCTGCCTCTGCGCTGTTCTTCGTACCCCGCCCAGGGCTTTGCCACTGATGAGCGAGGTGGTCAGCTCAGTGTGCAGGGGCAAAGCTCCCGGCATCACTCAACACCACCAAACGGCACGCGGTCTTACTCCCCAGGGTACATCCACGCATACAGAAAGCTGTACACCAGGTGTACGTGTGCACGTAACTATTCCTACACCTCCTCGGGAAGTAGGCGGCTAGATGCAGCGCAAGGATGGGTTTCACCTTTTGCTGAGGTATACAGTGCTGGCTGCTCCATGAAATGGGATACCAGGGTAGATTATCCCCGGGTCTGCCTCGGCATTACAATCCTGCTGTACTCGACTGCGTTCCGGACGAAAATAGGTCATTCTCCTAGGGCCCTTAACCTACTTCTAAAACGCATCAGCTAGTTTAACCAACATAGCTGGGACCAGTCTTTGCACAAATAAGAATTATCCACATCCTTTCCGAGAGGAGAGGAAGGGCAAGAGAGATGCAAAAAGCATGTACATGCTGACAAAGAGAGCATCTATTTTTGGCTAAAGAGAAGGGAATTAATTATTGATCCAGCTGGACTCGCCCATCGAAATCGCTCATCTGGAGTCAGTGTGCCTGCGACGGCCGGCTGCGAAGGCAGCAGCCTGCAGGATCACATCCCTGTGCGGAGCACCCGCCTGGCAGCTACACACTGGCTCTGTCCACAGGGCAAGTGTCAAGGACAACCGTGGTGTAGCTTAGTTAAAGATCACATCAGCTCCAGCCTCTGCTTCCGCCAGCCATCCATCTTGCAGGCACAAGAGTCCCAGTGGACAGAAATAAACCATTTTTCTACAACTAGCACTTCAGCTAAAACAGCATTCCCTAATCCAGGAGGTGTGGTTGGGTGGCACAGCCCACTTCTTTCAGTGGAAATGTCCTTTAATGGCGTAAACCAGGCAGCTGGAGCTGCAAGCTGATCAGATGGAAGTCATGGTTGTACTTCATCTCTGAATGACTTTAGCCTGGAAACCATCCTGGTCCCCTGACCTACCCCCCGTATGGGTAGGCACTTTGTAAAGATGTGTTAGCATCTTGGGTATGGGAAAAAGGGATGCGGGGGGGATAAAACTCAGCAGCCTATCCTGGAAAAGCATGCTGGAAAAAATACACTCTGAAGACTGAAATCACCTCTAGAAGAAACAGGAAGGTCTCTTAGTGCTGACCCAGCCCCAGCCATTCCCAGATCCTGCCAGGCGCCGCCTCAGCTGTTTAGAAGGACCAGGTTAATGTTCCTCCAATTACACCACTGGGGACTATGGATGTGCCTTCACGTAAATTGTCTATGGCTCAGCTGAAGTTCAAGGACTGTGGATTCAGTGTGGATCTAAGAAACTGCGGTATATCCTCCTGCGATTTCTGCCTACAGGAGCCTACAGAAAACAGACAAGACTCAAAGCGGCTCACGCCGTCCCCTCCTTTTTGCTCTTCATCCAGCTGCTCTGACAGCACTTGTCCCTTTGCGGACACAGCAGCGCCTGTGATCTCCCTGGGTGAAACGCCAGCGGCGAGGGCAACCTGCTCCGCTCGGGCATGGGGCAATTCCCTGTGCAGGGGCATGGGGCTGGACCGGTAATGCTGCTCTTCGGCCCGGGGACACCACCTCCTGAAGACAACCTGCACCTCGCTCTCGAGGAGCACGCTGCCTCCTCTGGCTTTCTCCCTGCCAACACGTAAACCGTGAGGAACACCTGAGTATATTTAGTTCTCCCTCGTGACTGCACTGATGTCTGTGACCAAGGCAGTGTCACCTCACAGTCACCCGCTCCCTCACATCCACCTCTCTTCTGACTTGCTGCACTCGCCCCACATGACCATGCAATACATATTTAAAAAACAAACAAAAATAGCCCACCAAAGAGTCCAGATGACGACAGTAAAGCTTTGGAAGGAGAGTTGAAAGTTGAGGTAAGCGTTTCTGTACCAGAAAGCACTCAGACTGAGGGACGCTTTCCGAAGTGTGCAAGCCTCACTGATTTTATTGATTTATAAGTCATCTAGACAAAGCACTGGGGAACATGGCATCCTGCTTCAGGAAGGGAACAGGCTATATGCCCTGCTAGGGCTTTTCCCTACTTTTGGCAGGGTCAAATCCTGCCTTACCCAAGATCAGTGGGAGTGATTAATCACCTGTTCCATGGCTCTGTGCACATGGAAGAGGTCCAGGCCACTGCTGCTACCAGGGAGTTGGGTTATAGGCTAAACATCGTTCTCTTACGTTTGTCTCCTTCTCACCTCCCCACGTCTTTAGCAGATTTGCTCAATTCCTAAGAAAAGTGCTTTGATGTTCAGTGAGCTGTAGCATATGTACCTTTTATTCTTGTTAGCAAAAACAGCTGTTAAGAGTGCCAACCTGTCATCTTGCTCTGTATTTAGTAAGGCGCAAATAAACAAGAACTATTTCAGAAGCAAAAATAGAGAAAACCCCTAAACGTGCTCAAGGAAGAACTTATTTATGCTAAATGGCAGCGACATTTCAGCCACGTCGCTAGCGTTCAGCTGCCAGAAAAACCCTGGAGACCCATCCATGTGATGGGTGCAGATGGAGGCAATCCAGAAGCCCTGCAGATCCATGCAGAGTGCACAGTGACCTGTGCTTGAGCACAGAGCCCCAGGCCTGTTCCGGACTGACTTCCATGCAAGCATCCCGCAAGACAGGCGAAGCCAACTTTCATCTCCCCTTGCCTTTCCTCGTGGTAAGGAGCTAGCCTGCTACAGCCATAAGGATTTCTTTACACAACCAAGAAGGGCTTGGTCCGATGTGGTATAGCCCAAGCGTAAAGTCTCGTTTGCAGGCTACCGCCCCCTCCTCAAGGGGTCATGAGCTGTATCACAGGTGGTGAGGGCCTCAGCTGGTAGCTGCATCCAGTATTCCACATGCAGGGCCTGGCACTGGAAGAGCTGCCATTCTGCAGGGTGCAGATAAGACCTGCTCCATATGCTACAGCATGCTGCAGCCAAAACACGCTATCTTCTGCCCAGTTTAAGATCTGCGGCTGGAGACCAACAGCCACAATTTCACTGTGCTACCAGAAGGGAGGAGGGGAGATTGAGACCATGACCAGTTTCCTCAGTCTTTTCAATTCCCAGCTGATCTTTGGAAATGGGCCACAGGATGGAAAAATAAACACCTTCTTAGCCCTCCTTGCCCCACTGACCTACAGGAGAATTTCCTCCTCACTTCAAATATGAGAATATATTTACCCCTGAGTATGTGTAGCAAGACACATCACGCAAGACCTTTTATGCCCCGTGAGATGTGACTGCTATGGCACCTGCTTCCTGACCTCAGCTGTGGCACTTTCCAGGGTTTTGGAGACAGACAAACGTACCCCACCAGCCAAATAATGAAATTGCAGAGGAGAATTTCTTCCAGTTCTTCCTAGTGATCAACAAAGCTCTGAAGTAGAGAATTAATAATAATACTACTACGTGCAAACAACCAGTCATCCAGCTCCCTTTCAACTCCTTTATATGCATCGTTGCGCCAGACCTCCCAAACTTAATTTCCAGTTTCCAAGAATCTTCCTCATTAATTTTTCAATCCTTTCCATAAGCTTATCAGACTGCATCTTAAAAGCATTTATGTTTCTTGCCCTTACTAAGAAATTCAGTCCCGCAACCCCTAAAGCAAATAGAAACCTAATTTCTCCCCAGAATGTGTTCATAATCAATTTATAACTATTTGATCTTGTAACTTAAAAACATTATCAACTCAGCTTAATGCTGTCCCTCAGCACCACCTCACCAAATGCAATGAAGAACAGGAGCAGAAAGAACCCCACAGTTTGGGAAGAAAAAGCCAACAGCCTGGACTGCATGAGGGCTTGGATGATTAAATGCAAGTGAAACAAGGTTTTAGTACAAAGTGTCAGGACAAAAAAAAGGCATCGCATGAGCCTGCAACATTCTGAGTTGTTGTGCTCCATCTACCTTCTGACAGCACAGAACCATTCGCAAATAGCAAAGAAAGATTTGCCTGGAAAACACAGGACAAATATGTGGGTGACTGAACTGCCACTTGTGTGGTCAGGGCTCCTTTGGGAACTAGTGAAAACTCCACTAAAGGTATTTTTTAATCCTTGACAGTGCTGGACACCCTTCTCTTAAGATCCAATGAGAGTTATACAATCTGGGTGTATAAAGCCCCAAGTAAGCTGAAAAATCAAGATTTTCAGCTTGAAAGATTTTTACAATTTAAATTCAAATTTGATCTAAATCAAACCAAACTTGTTTCTCCTTTCAGAACTCCTCACACATCATAAATGCCTAGGTGAACTACCTGAGAAATAGTCACGGTCCCACGATCTTGCAGCTGCCCAGTGGAAAACCTTAAAAACTAGAAAATGTACGGAACCTGTAGACCAAATCTACGAGCAACATCTGTGCCATTTATTTAGCTGTCAGACGTGGGAAGGTACAAAGCAAACAGCTTTGTAAGCACCAGTCTCCAGGTCTAGGACAGTCTAAGCTAGTGCTGATGACACTGCTGGACTTTTTTTTTCCAGCTATGACCATGGGGATCTGAGCCCACCCAGGAATCCTCCTTTGATTTGATGAAACCTTTTTAACGCTGTACAAATTTTTTTTCAGCTTCAACAAATCCAAATTTATAAATCAGTATATTCCAGCCAGAGCCTAACTTAGAGACCTTCCAGACATCCCTATAGCACCACAGAAAAGATTTGTGCTTCTGTGTCCCTTAGATACTCTGAAGGAACTTTGCTTAACTAGTTAAATGTAACACCAGGGTATGACATTTTTCCTGCTAGTGGATGGTCACCGGGGCCTGAGAAGTGCTGAGTAATCACAGTGCAAGTTTCCTCCTTTAGCTCAGCTAGCAGTACGATACCATGGTTTGCTGTGTATTTACAAAAATAAAGTCTTTCTCCTTTGAAGGCTGCTGCAGGATTTTCAATAACAAAATACATGTAGGAACTGCAGGTTTTGTGTCCCTTTTAAAAACAGCTTTTCGGTCACTGCCATCACCCCAGAGACCCAGAGTTTGTGCAGAATGATGAACAGAAAAAGGGTAACCAACACCTTCAGCATCAGCACTTTTTGTTGGAGGTTTCCCACCCCCAAAAAGTCATGCAGGATCTTGCTGAACTTCGCAGCTGTTTGCAGCAATGATTATTCATTGTGATACAGGCGCTGGTTACCAATAATCTGCCCAAATACTAACTTTCTATTTCTAGTTGTTGTGTTCCCACGAGAAGAGCAAACCTACAGTTCTGCCACTTTGGTGTTTGTTGCACCACACCACACTGCACCACACCGCACGGCCGTGTGCGGCATCCTTACCTTCATAGCATGCACTACAGCCTCTGGTTTCTGGCCAACGGGGACATATCCTGCTGCAGGAGAAGATGCAAGATCAGATGTCATGCGCGCTGGTCCCTGTTGAAACAAGAGAAGATATCTTTCAATTCCTTTTGGGTGATTTAAGCAAGGAGGAAGATAATATCCACAAACTTTGAGCCCTAGCTTCTCTCAAATTCAACCCCTTTTGGCCGCCAAAGACCAAATACACCACCACCCCTTCCTGACAAGTCACTTGATTTAATGCCGTTTAAGCCTACCATTGCTCAGTCTAGATGTACTCAGGCAGGAGATCACCCTGCTTTAAAGCTAAATTGTTTCATGAAATATGCTTTGCTCACTTAGGATAGCTCTGTACAAGGACAAGGTCAAATGGTTCCCATCCTTCTAGCCAAGGGAGCAATGCAAACAAGATGATTTTCCAGCATAAAGCGGTCATTTCTAAGAAGCTGCATTCACGAAAGAAACAGTTGGCATAACTTCATTGCTTGTCTGGTAACATTTTCACATAGACATCAAGTACCAATCTTCAGCTACAGAGAAAATTGTGAAGGCAACCTTAAAACAAGCAGATGTCCAACCTAATGTTGGCTGGGTTTGTTTCCAAAATGCTGGCCACGAAGGATCCCATTGGGAAAGATGCCGAAATTACACTTTACAAAAGATTTCTACTGTCCAAACAGCCTTGTAAGCACTTTTCATAGCATTTTCCTTTTTTAAAGGCATCCGACTTGGATTATGAGAGACACAATATCTTTATTCAGTGAGATGCACCCTGCCTGTCCCTAATATTTTTGCATTGCTTTGTAGCAGTGGGAGAAATCAACAATGAAATCATTGACCAAACTCATATTTAGTCTTCACATCCTTTAGGAAATGCAAAGAATGATTATACTGGGGGCTTCTGCAAGCAAATTAGGATGGCAGAGCGGCATGTAGCACCGTCATGGGAATGCTTTCACATACAACACATGAGGCACTCCATTCTCATCTTTTCCACGTCTGAAAACACAGCATGTTTTGTGCTCCGTCTCATCACTTTGCCTTCTACGCCAAGGACAGCAAACTAGTCGTGCCAGAAAGGAGAACCCACAGAGGGGCACTTTGCCACCTCTCCTTCTTCCAAATGTTTGAAGTTGTGGGGGACTTTTTACTAATAAATTGTTCGTGTGCATACATTAAAGAAGAAGAGGGGCCAATCCATTAGGTTATAGGCAAACAGCATGAAAGGCATGGAGCTCTCTGCACTTAACATGTCACGACAACCAACTCGTGATAATGACCTCCATGAACTGAGCTGCTGGTGATACAGAAACTTCCTTCTGAGAGGCAGGCATCTCAGTAAAAGGAAAAACAGACTTAATAACTCCACAGTAATTCTCCCAGGAGGTAGATCCAGAGAATCATAGAATCTTTTAGGTTGGAAAAGACCTTTAATATCATCAAGTCCAACCATTAACCTAACAATGCTAATACCGTCACTAAACCACGTCCCTGAGCACCTCATCCACACATCTTTTAAATCCCTCCAGGAATGGTGACTCAACCACCTTCCTAGGCAGCCCGTTCCAACAACCCGTTGAAGAAATTTTTCCTAATATCCAATCTTAACCTCTTCTGGCGCAACTTGAGGCCATTTCCTCTCATCCTATTACTGGTCACTTGGGAGAAGAGACCAACCCCCACCTCTCTGCACCCTCCTTTCAGGGAGCTGTAGAGAGCGATCAGGTCTCCCCTGAGCCTCCTCTTCTCCAGGCTGAACACCCCCAGCTCCCTCAGCCCCTCCTCACAGGACTTGTGCTCCAGACCCTTCCCCAGCTCTGTTGCTCTTCCCTGGACACTCTCCAGCCCCTCCACGTCTGTCTTGCAGTGAGGAGCCCAAAACTGAACACAGGATTCGAGGTGTGGCCTCACCAGTGCCCACTACAGGGGGACAATGCCTGCCCTGGTCCTGCTGGCCACACTGTTCCTGATGCAGGCCAGGATGCCACTGGCCTTCTTGGCCACCCGGGCACACTGCCAGCTCATGTTCAGCAACTGTTACTGTCGACCAACACCCCCAGGTCCTTTTCTGCCAGGCAGCTTCCCAGCCACTCGTCCCCAAGGCTGTAGCATCGCAGGGGGTTGTTGTGACCCAAAGGCAGGACCCAGCGCTTGGCCTTGTTGAGCCTCATACAGTTGGCCTCGACCCATCAATCCAGTCTGTCCAGGTCCTTCTGCAGAGCCCTCCTACTCTCAGGCAGATTAACACTCCAGCCCAACTTGGTGTCATCTGCAAACTCACTGAGGGTGCACTCAATCCCCTCGTCCAGGTCATTGGTAAAGGTATTAAAGAGAACTGGCACCAGTATCGAGCCCTGGGGAGCACCACTTGTGACCGGCTGCCAACTGGATTTAACTCCATTCACCACAACTCTTTGGACCTGGCCATCCAGCTGGTTTTTTACCCAGCAGAGAGTACACCCATCCAAGCCATGAGATTTAACAGACTGAAGCACAGAGACCAAGAGACACTCAGGCTGGGCATGGTTCTGGACCTGCTGGCAGAGGGTTACAGCTCGCTGGAGCTGTGGCCACCTGGGGACATGTCCTCAGCCATCTCATCCATAACGGCACAGACAAAAGGCGGAGGGTGGGGAGGCAGCACCAGGAGCTGGGTCTAGTCAGTCTACAGCTGCAACTTAAGACTGCAAAATGGGTTACAAATTTCTCACAAGGCTAGTAAATGCAATTTAGTCCTCCAGAATCAGCCTCCCACAGAGGTCAAAAACACCAATACATGCATAATTCCTCTGGCTTCAGCATGAAAGCTGCCTTCTTTCCATAAGTGACCAAGATCATGACAACCAAAAGCAGAATACTCAAGAATCTGTGGCCATCAACCACACTTGATACAGATCTTCCCCCATGGCCCTCTTTAAAAGTAACACAGGAAATACAAAGCAAAGGTCTAACATCCAGTATTTCTTCTAAGTTGAGAGTAATCTGACAAACTAAATGGAATTCTGCTGGATCCTGCTGCTGACAACATTTTAAGTACAGTTTTCTGACCAAACTAGAGCAGATCATGAGGCCTCCTGTATGACAGGCAGCAGCCTCTCCTCACAGAACTGAAGTCACTAATGAGCTACAAAGCGTTTCCATGATTGTAATCACTCTCAAAATTGTTACAGAATACAAATGAAACTAGAATGATCAGAGAGAAATGTTTCCTAAAGTGCTTGATCATACTTAACCGATCACCATACTGACAAGATAAAAGCAATCCTGGAAGCATGGTGATGCACCGGATATATCGTATCACCCAAAAAAACATTCAAAGGGTCACCTTCCTTCTTGAATGAGTGAGTGAAACTCAGCAAGGGCAATCAGCTGAGCTCCACCTGAATGCAGGTGGAGAGTTTGACTGCGAAGAGAAAGATAATGTTAAAGAATCAGGGGACGCAGCAAAGGAGGTAGACCCAAAACTTGGTATTGGGGTCTCAGTAAGAGATGACTTCATTTCTAGAAGAGGCATGGTCCTTGATCCTTAGCTTGGAAGCCAAAACCCCCAGCCAACTAAACAGATGTCTAAATTGCTGAGTGCAACCATCAGCAAAGGCGAGTGCAGCAAACCACCACGCTGCTGGCCTGCTATGCCCCAAACCACAGAGACCTCCCCACCACGTGAAACTGCTACTACAAAAGGCCAAGCATTAGCACGTGAAGAAAGTGGGAGAGCAAGCAGGATCCCCACCAACATCCCTGCTCTTTGCAACTGTAGGGTGCAACAAGTGAAGGTACCCACATTGCTAAGGATGGCTTAATGTTTACCATTACACTTAGTGCTTTTGGTACAGCTGCACCCTTACTAAAGGCTCTTTCCAGGCACACAAAGAGTCAGAGTTTTATAAAGGGGGGTAGGTGCTTCATTCCCACCGATTTCAGTGTGGTTCACAAACAAACAAACGCTTCAGCCTAACTCCTATCAGCTTCCTGCACGGAAGCATACATAAAGGAGGCCAGAAAAGAGGGGACTGTAGTCAGCAAAGGAAAGAAATGACAACATATCCACCAGGATGCATGGCCAGCCGTTGGAGGATGGAGGAGAGGAAAATGGGCAGAGTTCACCTATAGTGTTAGCCGAAGGGGAGGAAATGGAAGGAATTGGAGATAAGGTCAAGGTTGCCGGACTGGAAAGCTGCCAACAGTGGGAGAGGGGGGAAGGAATGGGAAGAAAGAGGAGAATGGAGGATGTACATTTTACCCAGCAGGAAACCAGTTGAGATGAAATGCAGGGGAGGGGGAAACTAGAGATAGGAGATTGGAAGAAGGGCAGGAGGGCAGGCGGGAGGGGGAATCTCAGGAAGTCAGCGTTAAGATAGTAGCTAAAATCACACGGTTGGAGTAGATTCCTCATGCCTAAAATAGATGCATTTGGAAACTGTGAGTAAGCATTACCACAGCTGCACCCCAGCACTGTAACTCAGCTACTCTGAGGACCTCCATCACTACAGAAACCCATTCCCCTTCCTGCTCCCTATAGCTGACATTTTCACAGCCATGGGAACACGACTGACTCACTGCTGGACAATAATAGCAAGGGTAATCTGGTTACATCCTAAGAAGCAGGAATTGTGTACATAGGCAAAAATCAGTATGGTGTGTTTTGGGCACGCATCACTCTCAATTTCCTCTCCCTGGTTTTGTCCATCCCTGTACTGGACGGACATCTGGCTTTTCCACTTGATAGGTTCTCATAGTGTTTGGTAGCTCAGAGATGGTTCACTCTTCATCCTCAGACATGTGGCTGGGGTGTCACATAATTATATAAATGAATGGTGGTAAAAGACAGCTCAAAAGTTACCAGAAAGGATGACATTATAGTCATAATGAAGCTGTTGAGAAATACCATCTTAATTGTTTTTCTAGTTTACTTCTGCTGAGGCTAAACTTCAGGAGAATGAGAAAAGCTGAGTCACTTGAACATGCAAAGTTTCTTATTCTCTTTGTCCCCAACTAGCTTTGGAGTTGCTCGAGGTGTACTGCAGTAGAGACAAGACTGGAAGTTAGCTTGTTTAATTCATCACTTATACAAG